GCTGGCACGACGCTGGGACGGAGCCGGCAAAGCGCCGGCACCAAAGCATTTCTCTCTACCGTCTTGAAAAGTTGATCACGTTTCTATCCCATTTAGGGTATATCGATCTCAAATACATTCCCAGTTGCTGGAGCAATTGTGAACGACTGGGCCAGTACCCATGAACGTGGGACGTTTGTAGCTGTACTTTCGGCTTGGACAGAACTTTCAGCCTTATTTACAATGCCAGTCAGTGGTGCTGTGGCCACTTCAGGTGCCGATAATTTCTTGAAAATTCGAAAACAAGAACTCATAAAAGCATTTTCAGTGGGCTGGGATATCAATTTCTATATACATGCTGCAATTTTAGGAGGATTAACCATACTTTGGGCTCTATATTTCAGGTAAACAAATTTTAATTTTTGCGAAAATTTGAATTTCTTTTGCAGATAATTTGAATAAATTGCCAAAGAAGCCGAGAAGTTAAAATAACCACGGAAAAATCAGTCAATTTGGTTGAATATGATCAATTTTTCCAGAGATTCGCCCTCTGGGCATCCATTTGTGGCTCGTAAGGAATATCAGAAAATTACATTTGGCAAACCGCCAAAATCAGAAAAGCTAGTTGTAAGTTTATCAGATAACCCAAGCTATCTAATCCTTCACAAATTCGCATTTTTTAGAACCCCGTCCGGCGGATTTTCAAATCACTAGTGATCTGGGCTGTATGGATCGCTGTCATAGGAAATTTTCTCGTTTCACAATTCACAATCTCCTACTCGCCTTTATATCTTTCCTATACATTGGGATTCCCCATTACTACTGCTGGGGTTCTCACTATTGCTCCTATGGGTGGTCTGGTAAGCTTTTTCTTCTTATCCGAACGAAGTTGGAAAAAGCGCATATGCTTGCAGCTAGCAGTGAAGATGTTTACCGGACTTGCTTCGGATAAACTCACCTGCATACCTGAAGTGGCTAAAATTCGAATTTTCAACACTGTAGCCTTACTTGGTTCCGGAATGTTCTTCATTTTGCTTACCATGATATGCCCAACAGGAAATGCTGGCGATGTTATTTTGATTAGTGAGTTCTAAGGTTAACATGAGTTTTGAAATATATCCCAAATCATTACAGTAATCCCCGTGGCCTTGCTAGGGTTTTCTTCTGGGGGCTACTCCAAATGTGCTGTGCTCGTAT